TCTGAAATGTAAGATAGGCCTTCATAGTCGTGGCCACCGCTTCGGATTTTAAGCTGAAAACCGACCTTCTTGGAACAAATTACGGCTGCTGAAACATGCGATTCCTGTTCAGGGGTGATGATGATTACAGGTTTTGGTGTGGAAGAGGAATTGAAACGAGCGTTACGGATGTAGGCTCGTAAAACAGAGGTGTACGAAGAATTGGACTTAGCCAAAACGATTTTTGAAACATCGTCTGATGGTTTGGATTGACTTGTGAGGCATTGGAGGAAGGATTCATAGATTGAATCCGAGGCCGCCGTTGAGGGAGAAAAGTTGAAGAGGACGAGGAAAAGAACAAGGGGAAACATGGGTGTCTGTCCTAGATTGTATTTTGAATTTGTCTGAAGTCTGAACCCTCAAGTACTGCTATACATCTCTTATATATTGTTCAAATTCAATGCCTGGAAAATCTCTGTAGATTTATTTAATGCTTTGAAAAGGCATTTCTATGGCATTCATTTTATTTTATATTTTTTAGGCAATGTTATAGTTAGCTTGACATATCTAAAATTGTAAGTTTATAATTATAATGTAATGTTAAATAAGTATAAAGTGTTATTAAGGGTTTGTTTGGTATAGTGGTTTGGGGATAGCAGTTAATGATTTTGCCCAAATCACTAAAAATAGGTGTTTGATAAATTTATTTATTTTGAAAAAGTTACAAAATAATTGTCTAGTAAAATTTTTTATTTAGTAATTTGAGATTAACAAATAGCGGTTAGAGTTCAAATTGCTAATAAAATTAAAAAACTATTTAAAGTAAATTTTTGTAACAAATTGCTAGCGAATTTAAATTTTTTAATTTTATTAACAAATTTATCTTTTTTATTTTATTTTTATTTTTTAATGATTTTTAATTAATATTTATCTAATTAGTTTCAACTTTATTTTGTCTTTAATAATATTAAGTAATTACTATATATTTTTTACATTAATTTATTATAAAATATATATTAACTTAATAAATAAAATTAATTTACTAATTAGTCGAAAAGATTAAAAATTTCTTTTACTTTATTTAAAACTAATATAATTTTTTCTTTATCAAAAATAGAAATTAGTGTATGATTACATTATTATAATTTATTTATTTATTTATTTATTATTATTATTATAAAATTAATAATTTTAATAATAAAAAAAATACACTTAATTGTTTTTAAATATGTTTTTATTAATTATTTAATTTCAAATAATAACTGTTAACTATTATATAATCAAACAATTATATTAATTGAATCTACTATTTATTATCCGTTACTCACTTTTCACTTTTTGCTTTCCACTAATCACTACCATTAACTGCTGATCGCTATCTGTTATCGCTATCTGTTATTTACTATTTGTTATCTATTGAATTTTAACCATTATACTAAATAAGTTTTAAATAAATGAATATGTACAATATTATGGGACTATTGAGTGAAAAAAATTAATTAAATAACAATTAATTATATAATAAGTTTATAATGTTATGTGACATTGTAACCTATATCATTTTCTTTTTCTTTTCTTTTTGTTTTTTTGCCATTTATTCATGGCTTACTCTAGACCAAAAAAACTCATGACTTTAGAAAATTCAAAGTAATATTCGTGGAAAAAAAAAAAACTGAAAAGGAAT